CTCCTGGGCCTACTCACCCTGCCCGGTGACCCAGGCATCTTTACTTTCTAGATTCCCAGTATCTCTGGGGTTTTGTTTTCTTCTTTTGAGACAGGGTCTCACTAAGTTGCATGGGCTGGGCTGAACTTGTGGTCCTCCTGCCTCAGCCTCCCTAGTAGCTGGGGTTATAGGCATACCCCACCACACCCTGTGCAGTCTGGGTTTTGATAGATGATCTGGCTCTCTGAGGCTTAGAAGAAACTGGGTTTCCTCTTGCAGCATGGCCTGTTTCAGCCCCTCACTCAGCACCCACATTTCACGTTCTAGGCACAACATGTCTGTCCGGGTGCATCAGTCTGTGCCACGGGCACATTGCTCTCTCCCTTTCCTCCTGTCTTGGTTTTTTCAGTTCTTTGTTCCAGCCAGTCTTTTCTGCCCCATCCCACAGTCCCACCCTGCACATACATGTCCTGCGCCCATAGCAGCCCTGTGAGCCAAGTGCACCAGCTCTCCTGTGTCCCTGCCAGGCTGGGGATGGGCACAGTGCCTGTGCTGGCCCAGCAGGTTGCTCCTGGAAGCCACCTCAGGTGTGTGGGTGGCCAGCCTGTTGAGGTGTGGGCTGCATCCACTGCATGTCACTGGCTTGCCCTGGGCCCACGTCCAGCCTGCTGCCAGGGACCCCTGCCGTCAGCTTACTCGTCTCCTCCCAGGTGTCCCCAGGTGTCATTGCCAACCCCTTTGCGGCAGGAATCAGCCACCGGAACAGCTTGGAAAGCATCTCATCCATCGACTGGGAGCTAAGTCCTGAGGGCCCAGGCAAGGTCAGAACCACCACAAGCTGGCAGCTCTAGGCCCAGAGCCTGAGGTATCCGGTTCTGATCGAGTCTGCTTTGCTTACAGGAGAAGGAGCTGCCTGTTCAGACCCTGCCCTGGGGGCCTGAGGCTGCAGAGGCCACAGTGAGTCCTACACAGCCCAGTTAAGAGCCCTGGGCGGCGCCCTTCCATTGGAGCACTGTAGGGGGTAAAAACAGTTGTGAGGCAGCAGGGGCCATGTCCCGCGCACATACAGCCCCTGCTAGCATTGTGTCTGCTCTGCTCCCCCAGGTTCAGAGTCCAGAGCCCCTGAAACTGGACTACCGCGCCCTAGCCGCTGTTCCCAGCACTGGCAGCATGCAGAGGGTCAGTGTTCAGTGTGTACTGCGTTACCTGCGCCACCCCACCTATCTGCTCACCTACCTGTTGGTCTCTTCTTTGATTTAACTCCCTCCCTTCACCTGGGGGGGCCCACTACCAGCCAGACAAGTGCCATGGCAACCATGGAGGGAACCTTTGCGGGGAGCACAGGCTGGATTGCAGGAGGCCACCTTGGGCTTGCAGTTCCTCTGTGGGAGCGCAACCTCCTAACCTGGCAATACCATCTACCTTTAATTCTTGCTCTTAATGAGGGAAGGCAGGTGCAGTGGTCCCCTTCCTTAGCTAAGTGCATAAGGTGTAGAGGGAGTCCTTTGAAAGTCCCTGGCCTCTTCTGCTGCCCTTGTCCTCACCGAGCAACTGGGTATGGGGGACCCTAAGCTCAGCCTGTGGCAGGCAGAGGCTCTCGGGGGTACAGAGCAGCTGGAGGCTATAGAGCCATCAGGGTTCCTGGTGGGACTGGTGTGCATGAGCTGCTGGGGAAGTGGCTGTACAAGGCCATGGAGGAGCTTGGGCTGAGCGTGGTTCAAGAGCAGCTGTGGGCCTGGGTTCAGGCAGGAAGTTCTCATTCCTTCCCAGTGCATGTGCCTAGTCAGACCACTGGGAGGCCTGCAGGATGGGAGTACCTGGGTGAGGGGAGGTTGACCAGGATGCTGCCCAAGTAGCGGGGGACACTAGAGAGCTGGGGGGGACTGGGATCTGAGGGGGCCTGTTCAGGGGCTTTTGGACACTGACCTTTCTCTGCCACAAACAGCCCCAAGAGGGAGCCCCTCAGGAGAGACAGGAGCCCAGCACCCTCTCATAAAAGAGGAGCACCACTATAGGCGATGGACTCCTATGTGCCCCTGCTCACCACCACTGCCAGTTCCTCCTTGGGGAATACAGCCCTGCCTGGTCCTGCCCCTCCCCACTGTCTGACTTTTCCAGGTACCATCTGGGCCAAGTGTAGGGAAGATGACCTCGGCCCCCTGCTCCCCCAGTGGCCAGCAGGTGAGTATCCCCATCGTAGGTGTCCCACAGGGCCTGCAGTTGGGTGCTCGTGTGCAGAGTCCCTAGGAAGGTGCTGCCAGGAGACCACGCCTCCCTTCTGGGGACAGCTTCCTGACTGACCAGAACTGACCTGCAAGGGGAGGGTGCAGATCTAAGGCTGTGTACCTAGAGGGGCTCAGTAGCTCCAAGGTCCCTCACACTAGCATCCTAGCCTGCCTGCTGTATGGGGAGGGCCAGGCGATGGTGCCTCTCCTGTACACTGCAGTGCGGGGTGCATACACGGGCTCCTCCAGAGTCCAGCTCCCAGCCTCAGCCTCTCAAAGATAGAGGCATTTGGTGAGTGTCTGCCACACCCCTGCTACCCACCTTGGCTCCATCTCTATCTCTCTCTCCCTCTCCCTCCTTCCCCCACTCCTTCCACCCCATTCCTGGACCTCTGACCCCACCCTTCTCTGGCCTCCAACCCTGCCCTTTGCAGACAAAACCGGGGGTGATCCAGCCATTGGCTCAGGCCTGGCCAAGGGGCTCCCCGGCCCCTAGGGGCAGAGGTGGTCCCTGCTGTGTGAGTGCCCTGTCCCACAGGGAGTATGGGGGGCAAAGCTTCCTTCCTGGGCAGATGGTGGCTGGGGTTGGAAATTGGCATGGACAGCTGGTGGCTGGGTGGGTGCCTACAGCAGGGACAGCTGCCCTAGTCCAGCTCATGGGACATGTGTCCCCCAGCCGCCCTCCCCAGATGAACTGCCGGCCAATGTGAAGCAGGCCTACAGGGCCTTTGCAGCAGTGCCCACTGCCCACCCTCCTGAGGACAGTGCTACCCAGGTGTGTAGGGAGCAGTGTCCTACTATGCATGAGGCATGGGTGGGTGCCCCAGCTGATGCCCCAGGGGAACACCCCCCAGGTCTCAGGGCCCTCTCTTGCCCCCTAGCACCCTGCACCAGGCCCAGCAGCCTCCCCTGAGCAGCTGTCATTCCGTGAGCGGCAAAAGTACTTTGAGCTGGAGGTGCGGGTGCCACAGGCCGAGGGCCCCCCAAAACGTGTGTCTCTAGTGGGTGCTGATGACCTTCGGAAGATGCAGGAGGAGGAAGGTGAGGACTGCAGCAGTAGGAGGGGCCCCAGGTGTGGCTGCCTGGCCAGCCCAGTCCAGCCTGACCAGCCCCATCTCCCACAGCCCGCAAGCTGCAGCAGAAGAGGGCACAGATGCTACGGGAGGAAGAGGCTGCGGCCGTGGGTCCCAGCGTGGGCCTTGCCCTGGATGGGGAGGGACTGGAAGAGGAGCAGCAGGAGGATGAGCCACCCTGGGCCGGCCCAAGCCCTGCAGGGGGGTGAGAGCAGCACCACACCCCCAGCCTTGCCCAGTCTGGGCCCTTGCCGACAATAAGCCTTGTCCCTTTGCCCAGGTCCAGCCCGGCATCACCCCCGCCCGTGGTGGGTGGTGCCCCTGTGCGGACAGCCAAAGCCGAGAGGCGCCATCAGGAGAGGCTGCGCATGCAGAGCCCAGAGCTGCCCGTGCCTGAGCGGGCCCTGTCCCCGGCAGAGCGCCGCGCCCTAGAGGCCGAGAAGCGGGCACTGTGGAGGGCAGCTAGGTAAGCCCAGGCCCTGCTCGCCCTCTCCACCACATGGAGGGCCCTGCTTTGCCCACTCAGTGCTTCCTGCAGGATGAAGTCTCTGGAGCAAGACGCCCTTCGAGCACAGATGGTTCTCAGCAAGTCCCAAGAAGGCCGGAGCAAGCGAGGGCCCCTAGAGCGGCTAGCTGAAGCCCCGTCACCGGCTCCCACCCCATCCCCCACCCCCTTGGAAGGTATGTGTGTCTGGGGGTGGGGAGGGCTCAGCCTGCCAGGGCCTCTCCCAACACTAGCTTCTTGTCCCTCCAGACCTCAGCCTCCAGACCAGCACCTCGCCCGGACGCCTGGTGAGGAGCCTGAGGCTGACACTCTCCCCTGCACCCCCTTGAACAGGCGAGGGGGGTCTTGACTGCCCCCACCCCGTCCTTATCTCTCCCTTGCATTGTCTGCTTCTTCTCCCCTCACGCTGTCCTTTCAAGCCTTTGTCTGGAAAGAAGTTTGACTACAGGGCATTTGCCGCCCTCCCTTCTTCCAGGCCTGTCTATGACATCCAGGTACTGGTGTCTCCGGGCCTTTCTTCTGCATGAACATGCGCATGGGCCCGGTTGCAGCTCCTGGCTCCTGTACTGCCCTTCTGTCCACCCTCTTTTGGTCTGCTTTGTGTCCTGTCCCAGCTCTGCCCAGACTCCACCCAGCTCTGTGAGCCTCAGAGCCTAGGAGCCCGCCAAGTCCATGTGGGTGGTTTGAGGTAGGTCTGGGATCAGCCCTGACCGGACCTTCTCCCCATCACAGTCACCAGATTTCGTGGAGGAGCTGAGGTCCTTGGAACCATCTCCCAGCCCCGGTGAGTTGGTGCCTAGCTGGGGGTGAGCTCCGCAGTTCCTTGGCCATCCTGGGCTCATAGTGGCCGTGTCCCCATGCCCACACAGGCCCACAGGAGGAGGATGGAGAGGTGGCACTGGTGCTCCTGGGAAGGCCCTCACCAGGTGCTGTGGGCCCTGAAGACGTGACGTTGTGCAGCAGCCGCCGAGCCATGCGGCCTGGGCGCCGTGGCCTGGGCCCTGTGCCCTCCTAGGGAGCTCTGCCTCCCCGGACTTGGGGTGGGGGCACTGCCAGCTCCAATACTGCCCTTGCCCTGAGTCTTTTAACCTGGGTGTTAGCATTTTGAAGAGACCCCTCAGGAGTTCTGGCCTCTAACTCCCACCCCCTCCCCAAGCCAGGATCTCTTGGCAAGACTGTAACTAGTGATGTTTGTACAACCAAAGACTCTATTTTGTGGTTTAAGGAGAATAAAGTTGACTACGTTTTATTCCCGTTTGTCCATCCTGCACTGGTCCCACCAGGCTGGCTCCCGATCTTTGGCCTTTGCCCAGCGGGGCTCCCTGCCAGGCCCTGTGAGCCAGGGTCCAGGAGTCAGGGTCGGGACTGTGGACGGTCAGGGACGCAGTGGCTGCTTTATCGGGAGCAGCACTAGAGACCTCTGCTGGGCAGCTGCACTCGCACAGGGAGCAGCGCTTGCAGCTGCTCGGTCGGCGGCCACTGCACCTGGGTGACGAAGAAGAGGCGGAAGTGCTGCAGGCGCGCCTCCTGGAACTGGGCAGGGTCATACTCTGCCCCGTCAGTGGGCCGCAGCAGCGACAGGTACCGCTCTTGCTCCAACAGCCCACGGCTCAGCAGCGCCTGCGCTAGTCCCGGCTGCACAGCATCCAGCTGCCGCTGCACCACGGGAAACAGGTCCATGTCTCGAAAGTCGAACACCAGCGGCTTCCCATACCTGTGAGCACTGCCGGTGAGCCCAGGGCGGACCTGGGGGCCCTGTCCGCCCAGCGCCCTGCTCGGCCCACCTGAGTGCCCCCAGCAGTGCCAGCCGGATAGTCTCAGGCCTCAGGTGCTCTGGGTTCATGGTATCTAAGTAGTTGGTGTCCTGGTAGCGCAGGAAGGTGGCTGCCTGGCCTGAAGGGTCTATGACAAGAGGCCACCTGGGGGCGGCCACCAGGCTGGTCACCCATGGGGCACAGCCACCCCAGACTCACCCAGCCCAGCCTGAGCGCTGACCGACCTGCCGTCAGCACTGATGCGGTTGCCCACATCCTTCATCAGCACGTCATGGAGTTCGGTGACCTGGCACTTCAGCCCTGGAGCCTCCTCTTCCTCTGTAGGGTGCTAGGGTGATGCCCTTGGGAGATCCCAGTCCAGACCCCTCCCTGGGCCTTACGGCCCCCCAACCCCCACCCTCAGCAGAAGCCCCACCCACCCTCCTTGCTCTGCTCCCGCAGCTCCAGCCGGGCCATGGCCAACATCTCCTCAGCCTTCTGTGCCTCCTGCCGCAACTTGTCCACATGGGTCTCTGTATCCTTGATGGCCTGGGGAGAGTCCACACTGACTGTCACCTCCCTTTCCCCTCCTCCGCTCAGAGCCACTGCCTCAGGCTTCACCACCTCCCACAGTGGCCTGGGTATTGGCCTCAAGTTCCAGGATAAAGGTAACAGCAACACGGCCTGGCAGGGGAAGGCCTGGGCTGGTGAGAGCAAGCAGAGTACAGAAGGCAGGGCACGGCGCAGGGGTAGCCGCACCTGCAGTGTGAGCTCAGCCTTGTCTGGGCACTTCTGCTGGCACCTGTCATGCTCCGAGATCCTCCGATGGAGCTCGCAGTAGGCCTGCTGTAGCTGGGGGTGAGGAGGAAAGGAGGGGATGCAAACAGCCTTTCTGGGGCAGCGTGACCCCTCTGCCCCCGCCACCATCCCTCCCTCCTTACCACTTTGTGACATTGCTGCTGCTCCCGGGCCAGCTGCTGCACTTTGAGGGCCAAGCTGCAAGGGAGGGAAGGGTAGGCAAAGGATGCCCTCCCTTGCTGCCCAGTAGCACCCTCACTGCCCCTACCACGTACCGCTTAGCCTCTGCAGCCTGCTGCTGCTGGGCCTCCTGAGCGCGGCGCTGCCACTCGGCCTCCATGTTCTGCAGCATGGCCTCAGTGAGGCTCAGGTCCCAGGACTGCAGCACACTGGCCACCGCATTCAGGGAAGCCACCTAGTGACAGGAGCACATGCACGATGAGGGTTTTGCCCAGCCTAGGAAGGAGGTACTTGACTCTCCCATTTTAGAGAACAGGTCATGGTGGTCAGAAAGGGGACAGTGCCAATAGCCAATTCCTGATGGGCACGTGTTACAACTGTCCCCAAAGCCGAGACCTGGGAGGAGTCTCCAGAGCTCCCTGCCCAAATCCAAGAAGGCCCATGTCCTATGGTAGGACAACCTTACATCCCCTCTAACCCCCGCAGGGTCCCCACCTCCATTCTCTGCAGTAAAGTACACTCCTGAGGCCTGGCCTTCCTGAAGCTGCCTTCCTCTGCAATCCCCTTGTAGACACACACATACACACACACACACACACTCACACACACTCACTCACTCACCCACTCACTCACTCACCCACTCACTCCAGGCTTCCCCTCCTCAGTCCCCAGGAGCTATAGGGATACAGCCTGGACTCAGAGCCAGTCACTCCTGTGCATGGCTCTCCCAAGTCTGTAGAGCAGATTGATGCTCATGGGGCACAAGTCTCCCTTGCAGTGACCAATCCCAGCCTCACCCTTGGCGAGAAACTGTTGATGAATGACCCTGAGTCCTGCAAGGTGCCTGCTGTCCAGAGAGGTAGGTATGGCCAGCTCCCTACTAGGAAGGGGTGAGGTGGTAGGCTACAAACAACAGAAGAATCAAATCCACACAACCCTATAGCCAAAGATGCAGGGGAAGCTGGGCATGGTGGCGCACGCCTGTAATTCCAGCACTCAGGTGGCTGATGCAAGAGGATCACCATGAGTTCAAGGCCAGCCTGAACTGCATAACAAGACCCTGTCTCAAAAAAAAAAATAGTTGGGCATGGTGGTGCACGCCTGTAATCCCAGCACTTGGGAGGCTGAGGCAAGAGGATCATTGTGAGTTTGAGGCCAGCCTGGGCTACAAAGAGAGCTCAAGGCCAGCCTGAACTGCATAGCAAGACCCTGTCTCAAAAAAAAAAAAAAAAAAAAAAAAAAAACGAAAACCAAAACAAAAATCGCACAGGGGCAGCTGAGCAGCCAGGTGGTCAGTGGATGGCAAAAGCAAGGCAGGCTCACCGCAAGTCCTTGTTATAGGGAGAACAGAGGTGGAGTGGGGTGGGGGCCAAACTTCCTGCACGGAGAGGTGGCCAGGAAACCTGAGCCGGGCCACAAGACAGAGGGGAGGCCCTAGGGCACCTGAAAGTGGGCAGATCCAGGATTTCACCGTAATGTGGAGGGAAAGCGGTGAGAAGACAGAGGTGAGGGGTGAGGAACACAGAGGGTCCCAGACCCACCTTTCCAGGGGCCTGGCTGACCCCAGAGACAAGAGAGACAGGGCCATTGGCAGGGCTGCTGGGGACACGCTCACACATGGAGTGTCACCTCTCTGGCTCCCACACACGGGTGGGTTAAAGACAGCCCCAGTCAGTGGGCCCTGTGTTCCCTTCACAACAGCCAGGCTCTTAGCTCAAAACCCACTCCAGGGGCTGGGGATTTAGCTCAGCAGCAAAGCGCCTGCCTGGCAAGTGCAAGGTCGTGAGTTCGGTTCCTGGTACTGGAGAAAAACCAAAACCAAAAAAAAAAAAAACAACAACAAAAAAACCCACTCCAGGCCCAAACTCACGTGTATTCACACATCCAGCTCAGTACAGCCAGGATAAGCATACAGTACAGCCTGCTCTGCATGCCCTACAAAATGATACCCATCGGTAAGATCAGACCTAGGACTTCTCAATCCCCTGGGCCACAGCTGCCCTCAGAGCTCTTTGACTTGTCACTTGCTGCTGAGCAACTATGAGGGGCACTGGGCCCCTTGACTGCAAACTTGTCCCACTGCTGCCTGAAGAAAGCTCAGCAGGTCCCACCACCACCCTCTGACCAGCCTCCAAGCCCTGCAATTCCCCATGGGCTCTTCCCTCATTCCTCTGCAGGACCTTACGCTACCACCCTCCGTGTGGGAGCAGCTCACACATTGACAGCGTGGCCTCACCTCAGAATCTCTCTTGGTAGGTCACCTTGGAGAGGCAGGCCCATCCTGGATATCTTTCTTAAAATTCCAATCACAGGCCAGGTGTGGCAGTACATGCCTGTAATCCTAGCATTTGGCAGGCTGAGGCAGGAGGGTTGCCACAAGTTCAAGGCCAGCCTGGACTACATAGTGAGTTCAGGGCCAACTTGAACAACATAGGAAGACCCTGTCTCAAAAAACCAAAACAAACAAAAAATTCCAGCCACAGCCCCTACTCTGGGGCTGGGGATTTAGCTCAGTGGCACAGTGCCTACCTGGCAAGCGCAAGGTCATGAGTTCAATTCCTGGAAGAAAAACAAACAAACAAAAAAACCAAACACACAGCCCCTAGTCTAAGAGTCTAAGCCAGTGGTGGCAAACCCATAGCATGGGTGCCACAGCCAGCTATTTGATATCGTTGAAAGCTCTGAAAGGTTCACCATCACTGGTCCCTCTTCCATGTTCCACTTTTCACATTCTCCATAGCACTGATCATACTATGCACTTATGATCCCACTACAGTGTGGGTTCTGTGATGGAAGGGATTTTACTTTGTGCAAGGAAGTGCCCCCAGAACCAAGAACAGCTCCTTACACAGCCATCTTATCCATCAGTCAGTTCAAGGGCTGGGCAGTGAAGGAATGAAAGCATGGGTTATTGTGCACCTGACTGTACTTACATATGAATGGATAGGTAGCAAGAAACAGGAGAGACATACCTATGGACTGGTTCATTGATAAATTAGTATACAGAGAAATGCATGGATGGACGGATGAATAAGTGGGTGGATGGATGATAGAAGGAATTTATTAATAAATACATAACTTCAGAGTAAGGGCAATCCAGAATTAGGCTTTTTTACAAAGACCTGGGCTCAGCCTCACACCTCTCAAGCCCTAAAAATGGTAGAGTAACTCCAGACTGAGTCAAGAAAGGTACTGTCTTGCTAGGCTTCAAATCATCTCTACAGATAAAACATTTGACACAATAAAAAGGCACAGGAAACAAGGCAGAATAAATGGAACCTAAAGGACTATAGGTGGCAGAAACAGATCAACATGGCTGTCAGCTACAGATTTTTAAATCTTAAAGATACTATGTTCAAGGAGATGAAAAACAAGGTTGAGAATTTTGGTACAGAGCAGAAAGATTATACATACATATACTCTACATACAGTATATATAACAAAATTTCTTGTAATTAAAATAATCAAAATTAAAAGCAAACTATACACATTATATAACAACTAGCTAAGGGGCTGGAGGTTTAGCTCAGAGGCACAGCGCCTGCCTGGCAAGCGCAAGGTCATGAGTTCGATTCCCAGTACTGGAAAAAACAAAACAAACAAACAAACAAAAAACCAACTAGCTAAATACAGCTGAAGAGAGAATTAGTGAACTAGAAGACAAGTCAGAAGAAAATACCCACAACAAACAGACAAAATGATGGAAAATATAGGGAAAAAAGGTAAAAAACCATGGTGCTGATCATCATCTATATTCCTCCCTAGACCTTCTACACAAGGCAGGATGATACTTTCTGACTAACTGGTGGTTTGGTGGAACCAAATGACTAGGTCTAGCCAGTGAGCTGCAAGCACAAGAAATTTGTGGCACACCCTGTCAAGTGCTCCATCTTTGGTACAGTGACCAGAAATATTCAAGACAGTGGTTTCTCTGTTGGCCTAGAACCCTAAAAGACTACAATGAGCCAGGCGTGATGATGCACGCCTGTATATCCCAGCACTCGGGAGGCTGAGGCAGGAGGATTACTGGGAGTTCGAGAGCAGCCGGGCTACAAAGGGAGCTCAAGGCCAGCCTGAACTGCGTAGGGACACCCTATCTTAAAAAGAAAAAAAAAAAAAAAAAAACACCCAGACATAAGGCACATTAGATTGTAGATCTAAATAGAAATATCTAATGAATTGTATAAGAAAATATCTTTGTGTCTGGGGAACATGGAATGACAAACTGATACCAGTGGCACCTGTTTTGTTTTTGTTGTTTCCTCAATACTGCCCAACACATTAGGCCATCCCTCCCTCCACCACTAAGCTGTAAGTCCAGCCCTTTTTGAGACAGGGTCTCATTAAGCTGCCCAGACTGGCCTTGAATTTGCCGTCCTCTTGCCTCAGCCTCCCAAACAGCTGGGATTACAGATGTACTCCACTGCAACTGGCTTGGTTTAATATTTTAAGACTTCTAGTTTACTTTCTTTTTTGCCTTTTTCAGACAGGGTCTCCCTACACAGTTCAGGCTGGTCTTGAGCTCACTTTGTAGCCCAGGCTGGTCTCAAACTCGCAAGGATCCTCCTGCCTCAGCCTCCCGAGTGCTGGGATTACAGGCATGCGCTAGTTTACTTTCTTTGTTGGCTTACTAGCTAAACTCTTGATATTGTAGTAGTTGGCTTAGGTTTCCAATAGATAACATCACAATCTACTGCCAAATGATATCACTTTACTTATAATTTTTTTGTTGTTTTTTTTCCAGTACCGAGAATCGAACTCACGACCTTGTGCTTGCCAGGCAGGCACTGTGCCGCTGAGCTAAATCCCCAGCCATTAAGAACCTATGATAACACACTTCTATTTCCCACTCCCAATCGCTGTGGTATTTTTTTTAAATCACACACTGACACAGCTTTGATTTGTGCAGTTTTCAACATGTAGACCTACGCAGGTTATAAAACCACCAGCAAGCCAGGTGTGGAGGTACCTGCCTTCCAGTACTCTGGGAGGCTGAGGGAGGAGATCACAAGTTCAAGCCCAGGGCAACTTAGTGAGAGCCTGTCTCAAAAGAAAAAAGAAAAAATGTATGGGGATGTAGCTCAGGGTGAAGGCCCTAAGGTCAATCCCCGATATGGCTAAGAAAAAAAGCACAATTGTTCTTGTTTCTTCAGCTGCCTTATAAATAAAAAACAAGATACCGTTCTATATATTTCTCCTGTGCAGTTGCTATTTCTGGTGCTCCTTATTCCCTAGCATAGATCCACACACCTGGCCGCAGTCCCTTTTGTCAGACTGGTTCCCGCTGTAGCCTGTGCTGTAGTGTGCCTGCTGGTGACGAAGTCTTTCAGCTATTGCTAGTCTGAAAAAGCCTGTATTTTGCTTCATTTTTGAAAAATATTTCCATGGATATGGAGTTCTAGGGTGACCAGGTTGGGATGTCCCCCCTTCTGTCCTTCATAAATCTTGGGCCACTGATGTCTGCCTTGTGTCATTTCCAACAAGAAACTTCTTGTGATGCTTATCTTTGCTCCTCTGTCTGCAGCACCTCTTTTTCCCTTTCAGCACTGACACTGAGACTTTGTTCTGAGTGTCTCACTCTGGTTTCTCCATGTTTCTTGTGCCCAGGGCTTGTTGAACTTTGGAGAATGTGGGCTTACATTTTTCATCCAATTTTGGAAATGTTTAGGTGTTTACTTCCTCCAATGTTTCTGTTCCCTGGCCTTCTTTTATCTGGGGACTCCAATCACATAATAAACACGCTAATCATATGTGCATTAAGCTTCTTGAAACTGTCCCACAGCTCACCTTTTGTGTGTGTGTGTGTGTGTGTGTGTGTGAGAGAGAGAGAGAGAGACAGAGAGAGAGAGACAAAGAGACAGAGACAGAGAGAGAGAGAGACAGAGACAGAGAGACAGAGATTTGCTATGTAATTCAGACTGGCCTTGAACTCACTATGTAGCCCAAGCTGGCCTCAAACTTGCCAAAATCCTCCTGTCTCAGCCTTCTGAGTGCTGGGATTACAGGAGTGCACTACCACATCTGGTGCACCTTCTTTTTATTTGGGATTCTTTCTTTTCTGTTTATTTTGCATATGTTATTTAGCAAAACAGTTATTTAGCTAATAGTTACTTAGCTAAATAGCTATTTATGTTAAATGTTATTTATAATACGCAATGTATTAACCATTGTTACCCTACTATCTTGTTATGAAATTTTTTTCTCTTTAAAATAAAATTTAAAAATAAATATGTTATTTAGCATATTTTCTATTGCTAGGCCATTAAATTCAATATTACTTACCTGTACATTAATCCCATCCAACATATTTTATCTCAGACATTACAGCTATGTGTGTGGCACAGGGGATCAAGGACACTCTACCGTGATGTCCATCCGCAGCCCTTTTAATCCTGCCTGGTATCACAGACAACCTTTCATCTCCAACACTGCAGCTCCCACCTCCCAGAGTCAGGGAGCTTGTGCGTGATGCAGATATAATAACCTTAACTTCTCTGTCTACCAACTCTTACCTGTGTCACTTCTGATTCAGTTTTTATTGATTAACCTTTCTCTTCACTCTGGGTTATTTTTCGTGTCTCTGAATGCCTGACAATTTTATTAAATTTTTATTTGAAAAGAACTACAGGGTTACAGGAAGTTGCAAAAATAATACAATATTCCTATGTACCATTAGCAAGTGTTCCCCAGGGACAGCACCTTACTCAACTCTCCAACAATAAACAAAGCAAAATACTGACAGGGGGCTGGGGATTTAGCTCAGCGGCACAGCGCCTGCCTGGCAAGCGCAAGGTCGTGAGTTCGGTTCCCAGTACCGGAAAAAAAAAAAAAAAAAAAACAAAAAAAAACAAAATACTGACAGTACAAACCACAGGTAATGGTGTGTGTGTGTGTGTGTGTGTGTGTGTGTGTGTGAGCCAGCGCATGTTGTGTGAGCGAGCGCATGTGCGCCTGCAGGCTGCACAGCCATACCACAGACTCAGAACTACTCCACCCCCAGGGTCCTTCCTGCTCCTCCCTGCCAGTCACACCCATCCTTCTCCCTTTAGCCTTCCCCTGCAAACCTCTAATTTGTTCTGCATCTCTATAATTTTGTCATTTTAAGAATTTTATGCAAATAGAGTTATGTAGTTGGTAACTTCTGAGAGGGCTTTTTCTTGCTCACACACTCCCCTTGGAGAGCTCCTCAAGCTGTTCTGGCATCACTAGCTCCCTCCTTTCCCTCTATGTGTGGCAGGTGGGCACTCCAGGCACAACTGAGGCACAGCTGGTTTAACCACCCTCTGTTGGTGGGCATCTGAGCTATTCCCAATAAAACTGTTTTGAACATCTGCATATATTTTTGTGTGGATATAGTTTCATTTTATTGGAATAAATGCTTATGATGAGCCAGGCATGGTGGTGCATGCCTATAAGCCCAACACTGGGGAGGCTGAGGCAGGAGGCTTACTGTGAATTTGAGGCCAGCCTTGGCTACATAGTAAACTCAAAAAAAAAAAAAAAAAAATTGCCAAAGGCAGTAACTACTGAGACACATGCTAAATATATGTTTATTTTTTTAAAAATAATCTAGCAAACAAACAAGAAAGAATCTAGCAAACTATTTGCAAGAGACTATTTTACAAACTATTTTGCATTCCTACCAGCAAGGTGAGAGATCTAGGCTCTCTGTATTTTCGCCAGCACTGGGTATTTTCCCCATTTTCCTTTCTGGCTGTTGTCACACATCTGTGAAGGTGCCGAACACCTCCTGCATCTATCTGCTGCTGTTACAGCCTTTTCTGGGAAATTTCTCTCCTAGTCCTTTGCTCATTTTATAACTGGATGATACATGTTGTTTGTGTGTGTTTGTTGCAGTGCTGGAGATTGAACCCAGAGCTACACACTGAGCTACATCCGCAGCCCCTTTCTTTTTACTTGGACACAGGGTCTCCATCAGTTGTCCCTGCTGGGTAAAATCCACTCCTGCCTCAGCCTTCCAGAGTGTTGGGTTACAGGTGTGTGCCACCACACCTAGCTAAATTTTCATTTTGATGAGGCCCAGTTTATTGATTTTTTTCTTTTTGGATTGAACTTTTGGTGTTGTATCTAAGAATTCTTTGCCATGCCCTAGGCCCCAAAGGTTTTTGTCTCATAAGTTCACCTAAAAGTTATATAGTTTTACATTTTACATCTTAATCTCTAGTTCTTTTTTTTTTTTTTTTTTTTCGGTACCGGGGATCGAACTCAGGACCTTGCGCTTGCCAGGCAGGCACTTATGCTACTGAGCTATGTCCCCAGCCCCTCTAGTTCATTTTGAATTAGTTTTGTATCAGGTGTGGGGTTCTGATCAAGGCTTACTTCTTGGCCTGTGGTCACACAAAGGCTCCCATACCCCAGGTTGAGATAACCATCCTTTTCTGACATCTGATTCTAGCAGGTACCTCCTCCCGATCCACAGCTCCCAACTACCTGTCCTTTGACTCCCCACCTGGACCAACTCTGCTGGGTCCTGTCCTCAGCACCCCTGGATGCCCACCCACACCCCCTACACCTCACAGAACCCACTACCACCAGCACAGGAATCCACTGAGTGGACCAAGTCAGTAATCCTGGCCTAGGGCAGTGTCCACAGAAGGACAGCCTGGGGGTGGGATCCATGGCCCCAGGCTAGACAAAGCCCCTGGCACCCGGCACCCTGCATTCCTGAGCGTGGAAAGAGGGTCTACCAGCAGGCTGAGTCCACCTCATATCCATGCAGGCCTCACCATCAGGGACGGGATCTGGAGTGCGGGTGAGATGAAGGGTTCAAACTGAGTTGACCTGAAGGAAAGGCAGGTAGAGGCATTTCCCGACCTGGCAGAGCGAGCCTTCTGCGGCCTCCGGCCCGGCCTGTTGCAGCCCAGCAGACACACACCCGCTCAGGCTCAGTGGAGCTCCAGGGCTGGGGAGCAGAGCCACAGGTGGGGAACAGGGAAGAGTTCAGGGCCCGGTCCTGGGCCCCTGGAGAAGCCCCTACTCGCCCCCAGCTCTAGTGATTTCTGGAGACTGACTGGACAAGCCGCTGCCCACGCCTGCTCGACTCGCACCTGCGCGGGGGTGTTCCCATCGTCCGCGTACACGCGTGGGTCTGCACCGAGCTTCAGAAGCACCTCTACGGCTTCCAGATGGCCCCCAAAGGCTGCCCGGTACAGCGGCGTTCGACCGAAGGCGCCCTGCGGGAGCGGTGCCCTGATCGAGACCCCAGGCCACAGGGAGCAGGCTGCCCGCGCCCCTCGCGTGTCAGCGGCCCGCGGCGCCCACCTTGCTGTTGGGGCTGGCGCCGAGCTCGGCCAGCAGCTGGATGGCCAGGGGCTGCCCGCCCGCTGCCGCCTCGGACAGCGGCGTGTTCCCGTGGCTGTCTTCGCACTCCACCATGGCCACGCGCCGCTGCAGCCTCCGCGACCGGCCCGCTTCGTCGTGGCCCACGCCGTCGCGGGTCAGCAGCTGCTCCACCTGCGCAGCCCGCGGGCTCAAGTCCCGCCGGGCCCCGCCCCGAGGCCCCGCCCACCCCGCTGCGCTGGCCGCCGCCGACTGCTGACCTCGTTTAGGACCGCCCGGATCTCTGCCAAGTCCCCGTCGAAGGCGGCGTCCAGGAGGCGGCGGCGGCGCTGCAGCTCCTCCAGCCGCTCGCGCTGCGCCGCCTCCTCCTTCTCGCGCCGCCGCCGGGCCACTTCCTGCTCGTGGCGCACTGAGGCCAGGTAGGCCTGCGAGGTATGGCCAGAGGTCACTGTCCGCAGTCCTGGGGTTAACGCCCGCAGCCCGAGGTCACTGCCCCCCCAGCCCAGAAATAGTGGCACCATCATCCCGAGCTTCCATCCCACCCTCGGGCCCTGTGGCTCCCCCAGCTCACTTCCCTCTGCAGCTTTTCCATCTGCTCCAGATATTCCTGGCGCTTCAGTTGACGGCGAGCCAGCTCCTTCCTGGCCAGGTGCTGCCGGAAGGCACACTGGATGAGAGTGGCTGCTTGGTCCTCTACGCTTGGACCTGGGGTGGGGAGAGGACGCACATGGACCCCAGTACTCCCCTCCAAACGGCCATCCCCACAGCTGCCGGGCCCAGCCATGCCACGTGAGCGCCCATCGCGGGTTAACCTGGTGGTGGGCCCTGCAAATCCTTCAAACTGTTCTCAACATTCCTGACCCTCGCGCCAGAATAATCCACCAACAGAGACCAAAGAAGGAGGTTCTAGGGATGGGAACCAAGGGAGGAGAAAAGATCCAGGTCTTGATAGAAGTTTTCCACCTCCCAGGACCCTGGGAGAAACCTTCATTAACACCACAGTTTGGAAAGACAGACGCTGAAAAAGTTGGTAGGAAACCAAACAGTAGAAGCTAAAACTCAGGCGGATGCTGTATTAGTCCTCCCATTAGGGACGTGATCGCTAATGCCCAGGCTTTAAGGGGGGTGGTTCAGTCGGGCTCACGGTCTCAGGGCATTCAGTCCATGGTCAGCGGGCTCAAGGCGGGAACATCATGGCGGAAGGGGGCAGCAGAATAAGGCTGCTTAATTCATGTTGGCCAGGAAATAGAGCAGGGAACAGTGCCAGAGAGGAAGGGATGAGACCAGATACAGTACCTAAGGTCACACCTGCACGGCCCACCACAACCAGAGTGTGTTTTTCTAATCTGGTAGGCATTTTTTTTTTTTTTTGTCTTTTTGAGACGGTCTTGCTATGCAGTTCAGGCTGGCCTTGAGCTCACTTTGTAGCCCAGGGTGGTCTCAAACTCCCAAAGATCCTCCTGCCTCAGCCTCCCAAGTGCTGGGATTACAGGGGTGCGCCACCATGCCTGGCTCTGCCAGGCATTTCTTAATCCAGTGAAGGTGACATATCAGGATTAATGGTCACAGCCTAGAAGTGACGAATGCCAACTAAAACTCAGACTTATGTTAAGGATCACGTTATGGTTGATACATTGTATCAACTTGGGGAGTCTAGAGGTTTGGCTAAGTGACTCAGCAGGAAGCCAGGGTGCTTACTTTGTATACATCCTGAGCCTGTGGAAGAGGAGGGCATGGAGATTATGTGAGAGCTGCACGCCCCTTAGGTGGGGGTAGCCTGTTTACAGTGTAAGGCAGGGAAAGAGGCTGCTTGGCGCCATTCCTCCTTTTTGCTCTGGCTGCTTTGCTGTTCGGCTGCCATTGCCCCCTTTGCTTTTGTTGCTTTGCTACCTTCTGCCTCGGAGCCAGCCAAGTATGGACTGAAACCTCCACAAACTGTAAGCTAAATAAACCCTTCCCTCCTTCATTTTAGGTGTTGGGCATTTTGTCTCAGCAATGAGAGAAAAGTAACCAAGACAGATCAAGAAAAGGAGACAGCACCACTCCCATTGTTAAAAGGTCTGAGCAGGTCAAAGTGGGATCTGGTTGATTGGTTCACGGGACAAAATGGCATGACTCAAGCCTGATAAGCCTAAGTACCTACAACGAATGAGAGAAGTCTCCACAAAAAACGAGGGCTGTCTCTGTTGGCAAGTAAAACTGACAAGAGTGACAGAAAGAGCCAAAAGAGGGCAGGAGAAGGAAAAACTTCCCACAGAAAGTCAGGGCATAGGAAAGGACAGACCAAGGAACTCCTTGTGGGCACAGAAATAAGCCCAGTTTCAGGGCAGGGGGACTTCCCAGGACCAGGGGAAGACTGGAGCCGAGTGTGGGTGTGACTGTGTCCCATTGTTCCATTTTCCAGAAGGGAACACTCACTGCAGCCCTGCTCCACACAGTCATTGTGAGCCACTGGAACCACAGAGCCTGTCAGACGGAGAGTAATTTACCACATCAATAACTGAGAAAAAGTGTACAGTCCTCTTTACGGAAACAGAAAAAGCACTTAGCAAATACCAACTTTTTTTATTTTTAAAAATCTTCAGGGCTGGGGCTGGGGATTTAGCTCAGCGGCGCAGCGCCTGCGTGGCAAGCACAAGGTCGTGAGTTTGATTCCTGGTACCGGAAGAAAAAAAAAATCTTCAGGGCTGAGGATATAGCTCAGTGCACAGCACCTGCCTGGCAAGAGCAAGCAAGGTCCTGAGTTCGATTCTCTATACCAGAACAAAACAAAATCTTCAGAAACTAGGAATGAGAGGAACCTTCCTTAATTTAATAGAGGGTAGACACCAAAATCCTGGACAAACCTGATACTTCATGGTGAAAAGTTAAGTGTTGTTTTTAGCCGGGCGTGGTGGCACACGCCTGTAATCCCAGCACTCGGGAGGCTGAGCCAGGAGGATCGTTTCGAGTTCGGAACCACCCTGGGCTACAATGTGAGCTCAAGGCCAGCCTGAACTGCATACTCAGACCCTGTCTCAAAAAAATAAAAAAGACCTAAATAAATAAATAAATAAAAGTGTTGTTTTTAGAATTAATAAGGAGGTAAGAATGCTCATTGTTACTGTGGCCTTGTTATGTATTATGCTTATTTCTTTTAAACAATATTTTTGAAAGTCCTAGCTGATGTAATAAAAAGGGCAGATGAGGAGGAAGAGGAGGGTGAGGAGGAAGAAAAAACCCAAAGTTATCTTTATTTGGAAATCATAATTAAGCACATAAAAATCCAAAAGAGCCATTGTGGTACACATCTGTAATGCCAGTATTTGGGAGGCTGAGGCAGGATTACCTCAAGTTTGAAGATAGCCTCGGTGACATAGTAAGACTAAAATGGAGGAAGGGGGAAATCTGCTCATAAATTATTAGATATAATAAGCAAGCCTAGGAAGGTTTCTGAATATAACCTCAGTATACACAAATAAATTGTATAGCTCTATAAAGCAATAGATTTTGTTTTTGTTTTACAGAGCTAGGGATTAAATCTTAGGACAAAGGGAACAATCTAGAGGTGCTTCCACTGGTCCAGGCCAGAGGCTGGGACATCTGTGTGGGGAAAGGCCTATGTGAAGCCAACAGGCTCCTGTGCCTTGAGCCCCCCAGCCCTGACCCGGCCCCAGACATTCATGCTGCCAGGAGATGTCCTGGTTACTCACTGTTCTCCACTGTTCTGTTAGAGCCCTAAAGGCTGTCTCTACCTCCTCCCACCAACAACGTCTGAGCTGGAGAGTGCCTCAGGGCACAGCATGAGGCCTGCTTTCCACGCAGGCCAAGGAGGGAGATGACATGTCTCCTTGACAATGCAGTGGAGTAAATAAATCCCTGTGCGGTGAATTTTGGCCAGGAGGAAACAGCAGACAGGCACCACAGATAAAGCCCCTGCCCTCACTGACCAGCTCTCTTCCCAGGGGTGCTGCACAGGCCACGTGTAGAACATGCCTGCCCGCCTTGGCCTCTGCACCTCTCCTCCCTCTCGCTGGATCCCAGTCAGGAAGTGCCATTGAGGTCTTCAGGGCTCCAAGATACCAGCGACATTTCTGGGCCCCCAGTGACCTGGTGCACACTAGCATATCCTCTGCAAGAGGAAAGACAGGTTACTATGGCTTTTGCTACCCCATTCTAAGGCCTAGGGCATCCTGGGAAGTGCCCTGATCCCTCCTGCTGGGAAGGGACAAAATCAAGCCTGAGTTACAGCTGCTCTGTGTGACGTGCTGGAGCTTTAATCTTTGGTCAGGAGTGCCCTGAGCCATGAGGGGAGCTTTGAGTCCTGCACTTTGTTGTCTACTTTTTCTACTCAGAGATCTGGAAGGAAATGCAATAGCATCTGTGATGACTCATCTTGACTGGCAACTTGATTGGCTTGAGAGATGTCTGGGAGATTAGTAAAGCACAGTTCTGGGTGTGTCTGGATGGGCATGACCTTGGGAACTATATCTGATCCCTGAATAAAATCCAAAGGTCACACAATAAAAGGCTAGTGAATATAAAAAATTGATATGGGTGAGAACAGTGGCACGTGCCCTATGGTTCCAGCTACTTGGAACACTGAGCCAAGAAAAATGCTCAAGTCCAAGAGTTCAAAACCAGCCTGAGCAACGCGGCAAGGCACTATCTCCAAAAAAAGAAAAGTAAAATAACATAATGAAAAATAAATGAAACACGGTGGGAATCTCAGCACTTGGGAGGCTGAGGCAGGAGGATTGCCATGAGGTCAAGACCAGCCTGGAGTACATAGCAAGACCCTGTCTCAAAAAACAAACAAACAAAAAGTGCTGTAAGTATATGGTGTCTACAAAAGACCTACTTTTGAACCAAAGACAAGCAGGTTGAAAGGGTAGAAAGCAAATAGTAGTGGAAAGAAAGAAGGAGTAGTGGGGCTGGGGATTTAGCTCAGTGGCACAGCGCCTACCTGGCAAGCATAAGATCGTGAGTTCAATTCCCGGTACCAGAAAAAAAAAAAAAAAAAAAAAAAAGAAAGAAGGAGTAGCTATGTTATTATCAGACAAAATAAACTTGAAATTAAAAAAAGCCTACCAGAGACAAAGGACATTATATAATCATAAAAGATTCAATACTGTAAGAATGTACACCAACAGCCAAGTGTGGTGGCACTTGCCTATAATCCCAGCACTCAGGATGCTGAGGCAGGAGGATTGCCATGAATTTGAAACCAACCTGGACAACAAAGTAAGCTCAAGACAAAGCAAAGACCCTGTCTCAAACAAAACAGTGAGCTCGATAAAGTTAAAAAAAAAAAAAAAACCATAAAAACAAAGTGAGCTTGATAAAATTAAAAAAAAAACGAGCTTAATAAAATTTAAAAAAACAAAACAAAAACAAAAACAAAGTGAGCTCAAGGCCAGCCTGAACTATAGTGAAACCCTGTCTTTAAAAAAAAAAAAAAGAATATGTACCAACTATAAATGTGCACCTAATGATTGATGGACCACAGAATATATGAAGCAGCCAGATGTGGTGGTATGCACCTATAATCCTAGCACTCAAAAGGCTGAAGCAGGAGGATCACCACAAGTCTGAGGCCAGCCTGGAGCTACATAATGAGTTTGAGGCCAGCCTGAACTACACTGCAAGACTCTCTCTTAAAAAAATAAAAAAATTTAAAAAAGAAGAAGAAAGAAAGAAAGAAAGAAAAGGATATATGAGGCAAA